GCTAGTTTTGGGCCGGGCGCCGATAGCGATATTTCGTGTCGCGTACTGTCATCGCTCCTCTTACAGTCATCATGAAGTCTCCCACGTTGGCTCGTCATTCCTCCTCATTTGGGTTCTCTGGTTTCTCTTCTTACAGGGTCTTTTCTTTTACAGTTCCCTACTTTTTGACGGCGGAATATGTATTTCTGTTTGGTATTGTTTGTCTCTACAGTAGTTATACTGACAATGATCGCCCGAAGGATGGGCGGCGATGACGTCAATAGCATGCTGCTACCGATTGTTTGCCTACACAGTCGGCATATTTTCGCCAAACTTATTCACCCGGGGAAACCCTTTTTTAATCCACCGACAAAGCGATTTGAAAGCGCAGTTAATAAGACTATTTGTCGTTATCATCGGGGAAGAACTTGACGTTTCAGCAGCGTGAGGGTGTATTTGAGGTTTTTGAGCTCTGAATAGTTTACTGTTCTAGTGCCGTCTGTGCCCATAAAATTCGTTGCTCCTGGCTGCTGTCATCCCCTTTTAACTTTCTCGTTTTCCCTAATTCCTGCATACGCATCACGCTTTTCGAATTTTTTGAGACTTGCTCTTGATCTGTTGGCAGTGAACTGTTGGCACCCCGGTCATCTAGCTGCCTTAAAAAAATAATTTCCGAGTAAAATTAAATTTTCAACAACGTGGGACTACCTCATTTGCAGTGTGCACTGAAGATAATAAGGCAGATTGTTGAGAAGTTTTTTGAAGAGTCGTTGCTTGTTTTTTATCTCCCTCATACCAATTGCGTGCCAACTCCGGCTAAAAACAGTTAGGCATTTTTGGTGGACATATTACTATGGCAGGGATTGAGCAGTAGGTCTTATTGTCTTCCAGATTGGTTGTTTTCTTCAGCATTTAGGAACACCAAGCCAATTTACGCGTGCATACCCAATTTTTTTCGCAGCTGACATTATTTGTAAAAAGGGTAAAACCGACACCTAACCGTTATGGATTGGGTGCTTGCGTTGTTGTCGTCTTTACTTTCTCTGGTCTTGGGTATTTCAGAAGCGATACTATACCCGTGTACAGTGAGATTTGCTCATGTCAAAAGCGTGTGAATTCATTTTTTCTCGCCAGTCATACACAGTTAATTAGTATTTGCCTTTTCCGTTTTCTAGAACATGAATGTGTTGAGAATTTGTGCAACAATGGTAGGCAGACTTGTTTAGAGACAGCACCCTGTACCCAATTAGGGTCACAAAAACGTAAACTAACGTAAACTAACACTTGCTCAGACCGCGATAGGCACAGTACCAACCAAGAACAACATACTGCGGTAGCCATAAACCTATAAATCAGCGTGTGGAGCTGCTGACTACTCCTTTTATGTTAGAGCGTCTTCAAGACTTGACTGGATATGTGGCTGGGATTGTTGAACCTTACTACCGAGGAATCGCTGATATATTCTAAATTTAAATCCAAATATGAATAAAGCTAAAAGACCAACTAGTAGCCAACTCCTCAACTACTTGATCAGGATACTTACGGTGAGGCCCATTATCTGTATCTTGGCTGGTGGCTCGTTAAACCTCTCCAGCGGCTAACCGTTGATGTTTCGTAGGAAGCCATTCCCGCGCACGACGGTAGTCTAACAGGTGGTTACTGTTATCGGGCAGGACAACTGCTTCTTTCAAAGGCATTGGCTTTCTCACATCCCTTTTGATTGCCAGCAGCGATTGCATGAGAATGTTGAAGAATGGTCTTTTCCAGTTGCTGGTCCGAAGAGTAAGCGTTTAGATCCATCCACCAAACACAGCATTTAGAGGTAACAGGCTTTCTCCGGGCTGCAGACAAGACCTTATTTGACGAGGAGAAGCATTATTCACCAAGCAATAACAAAGTGGGCAAGATCCTATTTCGTAGCCGTGCCTGTTAGGGGTTTGGGTTAGCTGTCAGAGTTAGGGGTTAAAGTTAGGATTTGGGCTTAGACTGGGGCTTGTCTACTGCAGGTACGGCTACGAAATAAGATCCGACCCCAAAGTGAATTGTAACATTTTGGTAGGTAACCCACTTTTTATGCTCGGTGCCTAACCAAGCCTGAAGGTATTGCCGTAGCATGGATTACGAGTGCTTTCGCATCAAACTCGAGAAACTGTTTATTTTACAGCTTTCATTTGCTGAATGCCGTTCGGCCATCCACAACCTGTGAACACACCGGGTAATTCGCAACAATGTTACTCGGCGAACCCTGTATTACCGGTAAAACATACCTGAACAGTACTTAACTCTGTCTTCATTGGTCGACCTTGCCCCTATACACGCATGAACCCCTACTTCCCGTAACCTACTGGCTGACGAGGTTTTGACTATCCTGTGGGCAGTTTTGTCATTTTTAGGGCAAAGCTTTGGTCTTTGATGTCTGAAATGTTCCATGGAAAGAGAGCTCGTTATCGAGTTTGTTTTAATGCTTTTTTCTTATAACGAGAAGTAAGCAAAAAAACCACGAAGGTCCTAGGATCGGTGATACCCAAGTCATCCCTCTCTGTACATCTTCAGGCATCTGGAAAGCCGGCGACGAAAAATGTTAGTTTCATGATATTGAGGACAAAAGTCTGGTTACCTGTATCAGCCTCTTGGCCATATATTTTGAAGCATACTTGATGAAACGGCAAATTACATTAAAGCAAGTCCTTTGGGGCAAACCTTTTTAGGTTTGCTCCGAAAGGTGATATTTATCACAATCCATTTGCTTCAGGGGATAACCGTGTTCCGAAGGACTTGCTCCAAGCTAAATCAGTAATTCTTAAGGGGATTAACTAGCTGAGATTTCAGAACTGTATTATATATCCGAACAGAACCCCTCGAATTTGTGCCATGCAGCAGCAGAATGTCAGGGCTTTTAACTAGTGCCTATGCCGTCAATATGGTGAAACATAAAACTGATTACTTTTCTTCGGTAGAAGATGACCCAATATTTTAATCCCTACAAATTATAAATGTTCCATCATAGAGCGGAATACTGGTCTTTAATGACAGTTCTTAAGACTTGGTTCTATGGAGGAGGCGTAAATGACTGGACTATCAGACCGGACTGAAACCAGTTTAGTCGCCCCCTATGACTTATCTCTCTTGGATCCTTAGGGTTGGTCGGGCTGCAAGACTTCATCAAATCGGTCTTTCCTCCAAATGAACTTTGCTTTGTTGACATCTGTTCGCTGGCCCATCTGCTTGTTTTAAGCCAACGTAAGGGCTGTTAGCAAGTGGAAGTTGATTCAGTAATTGCGAGCCGTCTTTACAAAGGCACATGTTCACTCTATTTGCGCAGGCCGACAGAGGATGAGATAAGAAAATTGTCGCTGACCGAGCACTGCCGATGTGAGAAGGGTAGATTCTCTTAGCTGTTAGTTGGGAGCTTTGAACCACAATTTCCTCTTTTCAGGTTCTCAATTCACGAAAAATCAACAAAATCCTCAAATGTACCGTTAGACTGAAAAGCTTGCATAGGTTAAACTTCAGCTTTTCTAAGATGATATGTTAGTCTCGGTGTATTTCTCAGATCGGCATTTACTAGTTCTACACCAACGACTTTTCCTATCGAAGGCGATTCAATTCCAAGGAAGGACACAACTTAATTAATGTCTATTGTTGCTCTTAGTTGGCGATAGCTATATCACATCCACTATATTTTATAGGAGTAAAGGATATAAAGGGAAATTTTTGAAATCCTTTGGCAACAACCCATTTCTCTATAATAGTCCATTATTTGTTTTTTGAATCACCCTCTAGGGGTAATGAACGAAAAGTTCTGCAACTTACCGAACGTCTAAAGGTCTTCACTTTAATAAAGTTTAAGAATCCCCACCGCTTTCAATTCTTGCATTTTTAAATTTCCGTAAGACTTGCTGTTTACTTCGTACGAATATTCTTTAAAGCCGCCTTTATGATGTTTTTGTGCGTTCCCATGGATTGACTCGAATGTTACTTACATTTTCAGGACTTTCACTGAACCGACATAGCGGGCACTTAATTCCGGGTAATTTCCCAGTAGTTTGCGGAGATAAGAGTATAGATCA